AAACTTTTAAAATCAATCTTGCTGCCTAAATACATACGTATAGACGCATACAGACACACACACACACACACACACACACACACACACACACACACACACATATATATATATATATATATATATATATATATATATATATATATATATATAAGATATCTATATAAATGTATATGATAAAATATAGTTTTAAGGTATGCTATATTTATGGGATGAAAGTGCCCATTATCAGGACTTGAACGTATGTAAATATAAAAGTGGACACTGAGGTCAACATATAGAAGTGACAATCTGTTTCATGCTTAAACGCAATCGTTAAGCCAGACATGAAACAGACTGTCGCGATGGGTGCTGATTTAAATATCTATCTATCTATCTATCTATCTATCTATCTATCTATCTATATATATATATATATATATATATATATAGATATTTATTTATATATATATATATATATATATATATATATATATATATATATATATATATATATATATATAATAAAAAAGGCTTAAACACTAATATTCCATGGTCATAATTTATTCCATTGGAATCGTAAATAAATTATGACCATGGAATATTAGTGTTTAAGCCTTTTATTATATCCTTACTCTGTCCTAGACATTGAGTTCTACCTGGATCTTTCCTCTTGAAATTTTTTTTTTTTTTTTTTTTCTGAAAATATACATGTATGGGAATTTTTTATATATATTTTGCATATGTATGTATATTTTCCACTAATATTATCAATATATATATATATATATATATATATATATATATATATAAAATGCAGAATATCTTCATTCAAGCATGTTTCATTGAATAATATAGCCATAATATGGCTACTTATTTTTGTATTACTCCTTTCGAATTCTCTAATTAGCTTCTTGATGTTAAGTTGAAATTCATCAAGGAAAGCGCCGTAGTTTCGTTAAAGCAAGTACTTTCGATTTCCTCCGAGATCATACTCAGGGGGTGAATTGCGAAGACAAATTCGAGAACTAGGAAGGATTATAATAAAATTAAATAGGAATAATATGTTTACATTATTCAACACACACACATACACACGCACACACACACACACACAGACAGTATGCATCTACAGGGATGAAGATCTTTTATTTCCCAAACTCCGTCAGTATATTGTGGCCATGTTCTTAGTTAATGTTTTTGAGCGCTGGTTTTTCCTTTTTTATTATTATTAGGGCTTCCATTATTTTTAATCTTTTTTTTTTACATGTGGATGAAGCTATTAGGCTTGTATTTTCTACTAGTATGTTTTGGATGGAGTCGGGTAGGTTTGTGTGTGTGTGTGTTTAAACGAGTTCTAAAATCGAATTGTTGTACTGTGACATAAGTCGTCTGGATAGTCATGTAGTAGTATGGCCAATATAATTATTTATGAGTTTGGGTTTATGAGAATAAGAGTTCATTTTGTGTCCAGAAAAAGAACACACTTGTACGAACACATGAAAAATTAGACACCTTGTCAATCGTCTTTAACGAAACATACACACACACACACACACACACACACACACATACATACATACATACATATATATATATATATATATATATATATATATATATATATATATATATATAAAGAAATATAGTTTTACGGTGTGCTGTATTAATGGGATAAAGTGCTTAATATCAGAGATAGAGCGTATGTAAATATAAATATAAAAGTGAACATTGGTTGTTTCTCAGAGGCGACAGGCTGATTGCGTCCAGCAATGAAACAACCTGTCGCCTCTAAGTGTTGAAACAACCTTTATATTTATATTTATATATATATATATATATATATATATATATATATATATATATATATATATATATATATGGAGGGAGAGTTTTTGTGTGCATGTGTGGGTGTTACATATTTACAAGAAATTTCTTAAGTTTTTTTAGTTTCTTATCCGTAACGCGGACAGCGGTTTAAATCTCTCAACATTATTATAATCGGAAATTGGCGTGTGATAGAATTTTATGACTGGCATGAATAAATAATTACCAGAAACTACACATTATAGGAACTGAATGACTGTTTTACCATTTTTGAGAACACAGAATCACCTCTTTGGTAAATTTCAGTGGAACAAACTCTGCTGCTTCGTTATTTGAACAGAGGCTTCTGATTCCACTGCTGGTATATCACGTGAACCGAATCGCCTAAAAAAATAACAGCTGTAAACGAAGCCATGTTGTTTGTTAGAGCATCTCTCTACGAAACTACTTGAAATTTTCTGATTAGATTTTATTGACGAAGCTCGTCTTTCATGATGGAAGAAGCAATGTTGTGGTTGAAGAAGGTGCAGGTCTCTCTTCGATAATCAAAGAGCGTTTTGAAGCTGTCGGTAGTCGTGACCATCTCTTCCCGTCGATGGCGGATCGGTGTTGATGTGGGTAGCGTGCGATGAAATCTTGCAAATGAGGTTATGAACAGATGAAAGTGAATCACACCCGGGACGGTCGCTTGTGATGTGAACAAAAGTCGTAGAGTCTTTGTGGGTCGCCCGCAGATACATCTTGACATTACAGCGAAGCAGACACCTGACTCTATAAAGTGTGTGCGGAGAAGAGACGCATAGAGACAGGCACATAGACATGGATATTTGCATGCACGACGCAGAAGCACCTGAACTTCAATATTGGTTTTAACTGAATGTTATTTATCAAATATGTTAACATTTAAAATGTCCTAACACCATAAACAGTTTGAAAAAACATGCGAATATTAAATTTTAAAATTCGTAGGTGAAAATTGTCAATAACTAATGGTATCCTAATTCCAATTAGACGTTATATATATATATATATATATATATATATATATATATATATATATATATATATAGAGAGAGAGAGAGAGAGAGAAATAGGGAGGGAATTAAGGGAGACAATGTTGACATAGAAATCAACATTGCGTAGTGACTGTCAGTTGCATAACTGAGGGTTGAGGCATGTAACTGACAATGTATTTATACACTTCCGTCTTTGGGCATATCACAGTTTATGTTTTGAATGTCTTAGAGCTGTAAAAACGAGGATGTTGCTCTAAATAAATATTCTTAATATTCCTGTTGCATTTTCATATATATATATATATATATATATATAATAAAAAGGCTTAAACACTAATATTCCGTGGTCATAATTTATTCCATTGGAATCGTAAATACGATCCAAATCATCAGACCTACAAATTCAAAATGAAAACAGAAAAAAACAACTCCGGAAATCAAAACAGAATTTAGAGAAAGTGTAAGTATGAGGATGAGTGACAGAGAGAATTTTTTGGAGATGTGGGTGGGGTGGATTTAAAAAGAGGAGAAAAGAAAGTCGACGGATGTCTAATACATAAAGATACATTTCGTGGTGACATATACACACCACAGACAATTCAGATAGGAAGGAAAAAAAAAAAAAAAAAAGAAAGGGTGGGGAGAGGGATGGGACGAAGGAAAATAAAATTGTGTTTACTTTAAAGGGCCGCTTTGTAATTGGGAAAATTAAATCAAATATAAATATATGAAGATGAATATAACGATTGTCTCATTTCGCAAGGACCAAATATTTCTATGTTCAAAAACACATACTAATACACAAAAAAACATATACAAGTAGGTACATACACTTAGGCATGTACACACACACACACCCAGACATGCGTGTACATGCACATACATACACACACACACACACATATATATATATATATGGAATTTTTAGATATATTTTTTCATATGTATGTATATTTTCCACTAATATTATCTATATATATATATATATATATATATATATATATATATATATATATATATATAAGTGAACATTGAAGTCAACACTTAGAGGTGACAGTCTGTTTCATGCTAGACGCAATCATCAGGCCACGACTGCTGTTATTTTCTCGGCTATTTACATATACGAGTCAGTGGTGCATTGTAGGTAGTCTATTTTAGCGGTTATTTTACCGGAAGTCGATTATTTGTTTATTTATTTTGGTTAAATTATTTTGCCTGTCATTATTTACTTTATATATATATATATATATATATATATATATATATATATATATATATATATATGCACTACAGATCAAAAGCTTGAAGCCTCTTCTCAGAATTAGCATGGGATGAACTTGAAAGAAGAGTGATGAAAAATGAAAAAGTCAACGAATATATATATATATATATATATATATATATATATATACTGCGTTCCAAATTATTATCGAGTTTTTTTTCTAATATTTCAAAAACCATCCAATCAATTCACACAAAATTTTCACACAATATTGGCAACACTGATTTGCGCCATCCCTGAAATTTTCTTACTGATCTACGCAATGTAAACAAACTGGCGACATATTTGCTATCAGCACGGTAGATGATAATATATATACTGTTTAATAAATAAACATAGCCTCTACACAAATGAGTATATAAAAAAAATGTTAAAAGTGATAAAATCTGCAAATCCATTAGAAATATAAGAGATAGAAATTCAGACTCGTTAATTTAATTAAAACAGTTTATTTAAAAACAGATCATTTGATTAAATAAATTGCATCTGTTGAATAACGTATAAACAGAAAATATATTAAATAATTGTCGGACTCAATCCATTTCATATGTTGTCAGGTTACATAAGGCACGTATCGTGGGCAGATATCATCGTTCGGGAAAGATTTGTTGTTTATAAACAGTAATTTGGACTTTGCTAATCAAACGCTTCTTTGTAGCTGAGTGGTTTATCATGTCAGATCAGTTGACAGTTACGTATAGGACACAGGATTGAGTTTGTGGACCGTTTAGAAAAACTGACAACCTCCTGCAATCTGAAATATGTTTCGGCTTTAAATAACACAAAAACGGTCGATAAACCATAAAAATTAAATACTCAGTCACCTGAGTATTTGCTTCGCACGCCTTTTAAAATGTCGGCAGATGCTTTTTTAAATCACATATTTAAAGATAAACTGTATGTGTTATGTCGTCATTAACCAAAAGCGTAACGTTAGTTTTTTTTTCTTTTTATTAAATGCTTTTTCTAGTTTACAAAATCATTATATTTTAATCGTAATATTCAGTAAATTTTTAGCATCTTAAAACGTGAGATATCTTCGTAAAAGTTTCAAAAAAAAAAAAAAAAAAAAATCCTTAACAATCCTGTTTCCGGAAAATTAACACGCCTGTGCATTTATTTCACATCAGGTATATTTCTCCGAACATCAGCTTCTATTAAATAGCATTCTCACACACTGCATTTTCTATTTTCAGAATTCAATATTCAAAGATTTCGAAAGAATATTTTGACGAGCGGTTCGATCAATCGGTTTCTGGCACGCAATTAAACATGTTTAATTACACGCTTTTATTTTAATTGTTATTTTTTAATTTATTTGCATTTTTAAGTTTCTTTTTTTTTTTTAACAAGGTGTTTTAGGATCGCCTGCCTTCTACAGTTTTATCTTTGACATGATTCCTTTTTGAGGCGGCATTTCCTACTTTCTTGCGTTTCCTTCCCTCCCTCTTAGATTTCCGTCCGGCCTTCCTTCTTTTATTTCCTTCGTTTTCTGACTACATTCATCCTTTCATTTCTTCCTTCCCCTCTTTGCCTTCCTTCTTTCCTTCCACATTTTCCCTTTTTCATTTCTTTCCTTTATTCCGTCAAGCTGTCTTTCTTCCCATCTTTTGTTTTCTTCATTTTATTCATCCTTTCGATTCTTCCTTCCTTCATGTCGTCTGTTTTTCTTTCCTCATTTCTTTCCTTTCTGTCCTTCCTCATTGACCTACTTTATTTTCTTCCTTTCCTCCTTATTGTTCACCTTGTTTTGATTGCTTCCTTTTTTTGTCATCATTCTTTTTCTTTCTTCATTCCTTCATTCGTTTCTTCCTACCTTCATGCATTTCCTTCGATATTTTTTAATTCAATGTATTCCTTCAGTTATTCCTTCATTATTTCCTGTTTTTCCTTTCTCCTTCATATCATCCTTCAGTCCTTCTCTATTTTTCCCTCTTTTATTCATTCCAAACTTCTATTCACCTTGTTTCTTATTTTCTTACTTTACTTATTCCTTTTTCGTTTCCTTTTTTCATTTCTTTCTTTGATTTGAACCCATCACGTCTCCCCAGCTATGGGTTAAATAGCAGAGAAGACAGTGTTCTCTAGCCGTCGTTGGCAACCAGTCTGGGAGAAGGATAATTATGAATACAAAGTCCAGCCAACTGGTACGTTACAAAGACGTATACTTTGTATCTCTTAACAGTGTTTTATCTTTTCATTAACACTTGTCTTTGTTCTGTAATCCATTTACAGCAGCTCGTTAGGTAGTTTTGTCTCTGCTTTACTCTACACTTCTAGATTTCACTATATCCTGTGAGTGTTAAATTCATCAAGGCCTCTTTCCTCGCTATGATTCTATATATAAGCGTTTGTTTGTTGTTTTTTTTTTCATTTTTCTTTAAAACTTTCTCGTTACACGCGCGTTCAATCCACGGTACATTTCTTTCGAAACACATTTCTGTTGCCTCTTCATCTGTGAAGAGACTGTCCGGAATACACTGCCACACGGTGAGGGCCGATATTATATAACAGTTTCACATACTTTTCTATATTTTTATCGAATTTTTTTTCTACTTCTCCATACTTTGCTTAACATTTGGAATGCATCTTATGCTTTCCTAAGGGTTGCAGGCACTAATGTCCATAAAACAATTAAACATGGTAGATTTCAACAACTATGGACTATCCCACTGTAGGGCGATTATGCAGAATGCTGTTGTCGCCAAGAGAGGAAGGATAAAAGCGTAGCTTAGTTCGGCTCAAGGCAAACAAACGTTGAGCACTTCAAACTGATTACGGTCGTAAATGTCTCTGAGATTATCTTGTTAATCAGTGCACAACATTGGGGTGACCGGAAATTTACCGAGTGTCACAATATGAATCACAATGTGTCCTAAACTCACTACGGTAGTAATTGTATGCTAAGTTTGCATGTCAACTATTGCCCCACAATCGGCTCTCTAATTCTTCTCACCCTAAATAACATTAAAAATAAGAAGTGAGAAAGACTACGAACTCGAAAAGAAATGAGGGTCTGGTTATCGCATATCTAACCAAAGAAATCGCGACAAAAAACCAGACAAGGGTTTCACACTAAATAAGCTGCACAAATAATTGAATAGAAACATTGAAATAAAGTTCATATGTGTATTTTCTTAAATCTACAGTTTTATTTCATAGCATTTAAATGTATACCCTTTTGCTAAGTGTTCTGTGATATCTTCATCCAAAGGAGTAATGGATATCGGCTTGGATTGAGGAATCGGAGAGCCGAGTTCGAATTCCAGTCGAATCCATTACATTCACTTACGTGATAACACTCTTGGAAAAGGTGTGAATCCTCTTTCTTCTCCCTCCAGCTATGGGTAAATAGCAGGACAGACTGGGTTCTATAGCCTTGGATGGCAACTGGTCTAGGAGAAGGAAAACTCTGAATTCAAACCTGCTCTTAGAGGAGGGTGGATGGAGTCTCTCTGAACCTTGGTTGGCAATCCATTTAGTGATGGTGTCACGATAAAAAACACCCTTGATAGCCCTAGCGAAGCATCAAGAATATTTGACAAGATTATGAACTACACCAATCAAAGTATTGGTGAGTTCAATCTCGGCTGAGGCCGCAAGATGATGAGGTGTACCGTTGCTTAAAACGTCTGAGAAACACGCAATTAACTTGTTAATCAGTGCACAACAGCGATAAGAACTGACATTTCCTGAGCTTAACAGAGTACCTTATGCGAATCAAAATTTACCCAAGACGTACTACGGTAGTAACTGCATGCTAAGTTTGCTTTTTAGCTATTGCTCCACGACTGGCTCTCAAATGTTCACTTAGCTTAGTTCAATAAAAGATCACAAATATAGGGCTTAGAGGCAGAAACAAGCACACTACAGCAGTAAAGTCATTGAAGGCTTGTTTGTTAAGCACCATTTCATGCTGACGCGTTCCGCTTAAAGTTCCTGAAATGGCGGCCATCATCAATAGATGCTTCAATGAAGGTCACCTGATATGGTCACTTGATAATTCAAGCGATAGTATCTAGTGATACACACATTATTCATTTATGATTTGAGTCTATTTCTGCGTATAAGGCGACCCTTTAGGCTGACAAATTGCCCCCCTCCAAATGAGGACCGTCTAATACAACAGATACTAAAACATAATACCGCGGTGTATCGGCAATGTTAAGTAGGCTAGTATACTTACAGCTTGGATCGCGGTAAGTTAACAATTAAGAGAAACAGTATTGACATAGAAATTAACATTGCGTAACGACTGCCAGTTGCATACCTGACGCTTGAGGCATGTAACTGACAATGTATTTATACACCTCTGTCTTACATACAACATACTAATATAACCATCGACGACTTCCAACGGACACCTGACTCTATAAATTGTATGCGGAGAAGACAGGTACATAGACATGGGTATTTGCATGCACGACGCAGAAGCACCTGGATTTCAATATTGCTTTTAAATGAATGATATTTTCTCATTTAAATATCCTAACAACATAAATAGTTTGAAAAAACTTGCGAATTTTAAATTTTTAAATTCGTAGGTGAAAATGTTCATAAACTAATATATATATGTTTGTCTATATTTCTGAGATGAGGTATTATGTACAGTATTTACATTATTCGGACTATTGTCCCCATCTTTGTCGTCATATTATCACAACGTTTCGGCCGTTTCGCAAAATTGCAATATGAGCACTGGTAAAAATGGTTGCTGAAAACATTAGGTTTATAATACCCAGAGATCCAGTGATAGACCCAAAGAGTGTGAGTTCAATACCCGGTTAAGGCAGTGGAGAACTTTCAGAGGAAAAATTAGCAGGAGATAACTGATAACTGACATCCATCGCAATAAAGGGTTCAGTTCGAAATTCCACCCACCTGAAGAAGGCCGAAACGTTGTGATAAATATAGCGACAAAGATGAGGACAATAGTCCGAATAATGTAAATACTGTAATATATATATATATATATATATATATGGAGAGAGAGAGAGAGAGAGAGAGAGAGAGAGAGAGAGAGAGAGAGAAAAGAGTAATAGGGAGAGAAATTAAGGGAGACAGTGTTGACATAGAAATTAACATTGCTTAGAGACTGACAGTTGCATACATAACGCTTGAGGCATGTAAGTGACAATTTATTTATATACTTACGTCTTTGGGCATAACACAGGACATTTAAATTATTTACTTCAACAGAGGAAAATTTTTCGTACAACTGGAATTAAGATACCATTAGTTAATGACCATTTTCACCTAGGAATGAAAATGAACATTGCCCGCTCTTTGTTCGTTAGTTTTAACATTTAATATTTAATATTTCACATTCTATATTGTGTAAATAGGACTCGCTTGCATTATACCAACGGATTACTCCCTACATATGAGGCACGGTGGAGTAATGGATAGCGGCTTGGATTGAGGAATCGGAGAGCCGAGTTCGAATTCCATTCGAATTCATTACATTCGCTTACATGCTAATACCCTTATTAATCCTCTTCTCCCTCCAGCTATGGGTAAATAGCAGGACAGACTTGGATGGAAACTCTTCTAGGAGAAGGACAACTCTGAATTCAAAACCTGCGGAGGGTCGTTTGGGGACCCTGTGGCACGTAGTGCACCAGGTCTCTGTATTCGGCCCTTCAAAACGTGTGGATGATCCTGCACGAAACCTTTACCACTGTAATCAAATCTCATGTGGTGTTGTCGGGCTGTCAGTTTCCTGCGATCTGATCTGCTTGACCCTAATACGTCGAATTTGACGGGAGAGTCGAATATATATATATATATATAGATATATAGAAAAAGTTGCAAATTAAAAAAATAATAATGTTTTTTATGAAAGTATTTATTTATATATATATTTGATATTTCAGATTGATCTCAATCTTTCTTCAGAAATAACTGTTTGTTACAAATAAATTAAAATTTAATTTGCAACTTTTTCTATATATACATATTTAGAAATATACGTGGCTTCTCATTATGCTACATATATACATATATATATATATATATATATATATATATATATATATATATATATATTCAATTTAAAGAAAAAACAGACCACTTCAAATATATATATTTATATTTATTATATATATATATTTAAAGAAAAACAGACTGTTTCATATATATATATATATATATATATATATATATATATATATGCTAACAGCCGATGCTAATATTTTAATGCTGTACTACAGTTATAAATGTAATAAAATTACTTTTCCGTCTTGATTCCATATTAAAATACATTATTTAAGAGAATGAGTTCGTATTAAAATGCAGTATGCAAGCGACCATTACACAGCAATTTCCGCTGAGCAACACGCTCAAGTAACAAGTAACGTAAACATATCTTTCGTTCTTGATTTGTGGAGCAATCATTATTTTTCATAGTAATAATTTTTCTTTTTGATTTTTTTACAATAAGTTTCCACCTGTGTAAGGCCCGGAGGCCGGTCATGGGTTACATTAAGAGGCAATTTATGCGCATAAGAAGATAACGGTTAACCATAGACTTGAACAGATTATGATTGTAGCGATCGGGGAATCACCCTCTTGTTTGGAATCCCCATGGTTGCACAACTTCTCCAAGAGAAATATAGCTCCACCTACATCACAGGTGGCAATAACCACATCTCATTAAAACCCTCATTAGCTATGGTTAACACCTGTGCCAGGTAAGTATCAGAATAGGTAGAGACAAATGGTGAATCTCATAGAACTAATGAGTGTTGTGACATAAGCAAGGTGTGTGTCTCTGTGTATGTCTGTGTGTTTTATACATTTGAGGAGGCGGTTTTTTTTTACAGTAAGGTTCACCCTGTATAAGGCCCGGATGCCGGTCTTGGGTTACATTAAGAGGCAGTTATTTCGGATAGGAGAGGAAGATTACGGTTAAGATTACTTGAACAGATTAAGATTGTAGTGATCGGTGGGAAATCCCCTTGGGATTTCGTTCTACAGAACAGTGGTTTCCGGGAAGAAGGTAATCGAGTGGAACTTTCTTCTCACCAATAG